CCATTAAAGAAATAAATAAAAAATTCACAAACATCAGAAAGAAGTCAACTGATAATTCTGGCAAACAAGGGGAAATAAGCTCAATGATTTCATCTGCAAACAGAACGGAAGATGAAAGATTTATGGCTCATAAAAAAGTTCAAACGACAGAAAAACCCAAAATCGTTGTCTGCGCCATTCCTCAGCGATGACCTCCAAACTCTAGCACATGTTAGAGACAAACTAAATACTGTAAATGCCTTTTGTGGTCAAATAGGAGAAAAACAAGCCGAGAGTTACTGACAGAAGAAACAGAAGCTTTTACAGGAAAAGCTTGTGTGAATCACCCGCTTTGCGTTCAACTCTAATGAGTCAAAAAGTGTGACCTGCACTTAAACGAGAAGTCACAGCCAGAAGCTGTAAACTCATTTTCCTCATCAAAGCCAGCAACGTCTGCAGGACCTGGAAGATGTGCTCCCAGCATGCACGATAAATCTGACGTGAAATCATAATCATAAAAGCAATTAGCTGACCCTGCGCCACTCGTCCTTGGACATGACAGTGAGAATTCATACAGAGTCCTCTAAGGAGGCTGGTTGGCTGTCGGGGTTGGGGCGAGGAGGGGGAAAAAGTGCAACACAGCAACAATAAAATGGAAGGTTTTTCCTGTATCATTAACCACAGAAACAAACAGCCTATGATGCACAATGAGTGTTGTGCTGAGAAACAAGAGAATTAAGCTTTTATGCTTTTCATAAAGAAAACTTTACCACAGCCATTCGTGCACAAACCGACAAGGGCAAATGTTCCGTGTGTAAATCTGTGAGCTTTATATACTCATTATATTGGTTTGGGGCCGTGATGTCACTTCCACTTCTGACAGTCGGCCTCGAGCGCTTTAACTGGTTTGACCTAAACAGGACAAATGTGAGGTGAGATGTTTTTTGTTCTTTAAAAAACAATGAGCATTTTTATAATCTACATTAAATGTTCCACAAACTACTGGTCCACAAACAACTGCTCATGATACAGCAGCCTATCACCTTCATTTCACCGATTCTTTTGGAACAATGTAAAACACATGCCAATGCACACACATAAACAGGTTTTATAAATGTGTTAACATTATTACATTCTAATTATTATCTGTTACAAATTATGTTTAATCTTAATCTTTATCCTAATTTTAATCTGACTCTAATTCCAATCCTAAATTCAAATTTATTCTTGAATCAGTAAAATACCCTATTACAACTATTACATATACATATGTGTCTAATCTTAATCCCTTAATCTCACTTCATTTCTAATCCCAACCCCAAACCTCAAAATTCAGTGGGCCCCTGGAAAATGTCCCCACAAAGGACACACACACACACACACACAGAGACACATTCAGAGAGGCCATCACTTCACACCCAGTAATTATAGAAAGGCCGGACCAGTGGCTGCCACCTAGTGACCGTCTTCTCCACTAATCATGAAATATTCCTAGGTCTGGCGCCCCCACTCGTACCATAACTCTCCTTTACTGCAGACAGTTTCAATAAAGGATTACAATTACAATTAAAGTAATGAGCAGAGAAGAAAAAAGGAAAATCTCTGAAGGTTTCCTCGACTAACTGAATTCAATCCTACTTTCTTGATAAAATGAAGTCACCACATCATACCCATTAGTGGTTCTCATTTCTTCTTCTCCCTCAATAATTAGATGGAAGTCTCATAAACCTGGAGTGAGGCTTTCTGAAGGAACATCTGCAAAGTACAATACTTTTGGTGTACTGGAATGTGAATGAAGAAAATATAGTTTACGTCAGGGGTCTATGGTATATGTCAGGGTTTTTTTTCCATTTACTATCATTTACTTCATTCTACTACCAACTCAGATTTACCAACAGCTGCAATACTCAACTTCAATACTGCAGTTGTTCAACAGTATAAGCATAGTACTAGGGCAGTGTACGAAGTGTTCAATACTGCAGTTGTTCAACAGTATAATATAAACACAGATATTGCCAGTTAAACATATGTTGTTTTCGTTGTTTTTAGGTCTAGGAAATGCTAACAGATTTATTTCATTTATATGTGAAGGCGATGATAATCAGACAGCAAAGACCATCAACTACTGAGCAGATGAAGTAAAAATGTGCAGAAACTCATTTCCAAAAAGTTTCAGGTACTTGAAACTCGTTCTCTGAATTGGGGTTTTGCCATGTGACTCGAGACACCAGTTAACATCATCGCTTCATGGGAGTGAAACCCAACACGAGAAGTGAAAGACATATATTCTCACAGACGTGTTCCACAGGGAAAGATATCAAGGACAAAAAATAACTGAGTCAAGACCCGAGATTAACCTCTGACTTCCTGGTATCACCACTGTGTTACATTTGTGTTACACCCACAGAGAGGGGAGGGGAGAAAAAAAAAAAAACTCTTCAGAGCCGACATATGAGCAACATCTGTTTGCCTGCGACACACAAGACCCGGCAGATGAGCCATCAGGGAGAATGAGGTGACATGAGGAGCAGAGAGCAGGAGAACAACCAGAGGGGAGCAGTAGTAGTCCTGCCTACTGGAAAAATCTGTCTTCAGCTGGACAGATTTTTCCATGTCCTCCAACAACCAACCAGGTCCCCCCCCATACTACTGCTGTGTTATATTTCCCCACTCTCCTCCTTCGTGCTACGATGGCTACTGCAGCGATGGAAATTCTGAGAGTGCAGAGCAAAAACAGATCACTTCAAAGCAGCTTATTTAACGCTTGCTAAATTTTTCATCAGTCGCTTAATATCCTGGGGAGGGGAGCTTTTGAAGTTGCTGTGAGACTGGGGATGTTCTTCGTACAATTCTTCCCCCCGCCCCTCCCGTTACCTCCCTCCCTCTGCTGGCTTCAAAACCCCTGAACTAAACACATATGCAGGCACTCAGTTTACACGATGCCCACATGTACAGAGGTGTACAAGTGGCACGACTGTGTAATCTGCACGACTGCATCATCACAAGAAATGTTTTTACCACATGGTCCCGAGAGGTTTGTCACTGGAAGGAGAATTAAACAAAGGCCAGATAATATCCAGAAAAACTTGGTGATGGGTCGACAGTCATTTAATCTGACACACAGCTGGAGGATCATTATTACAAAAACTCACGAACTGACAATAGTTTCTCTTATACAGTACAGGCGGGTGGTTTATAAAGTAACTCAAGTACAAACTGGATACTGAAAATGAGTCCACATATCATCCTATCATCAACATATGGTTTTGTTTGTCTTTTTCCTCCAGGGCCAAGAAAAGGAAAAAACAATTATTCAGCAGAAGTTGGCCCCAATTACATGAATTTTTGCAACCCGCCAGAAAGAGGTTTTCCTGGGGGGGTGCTACAACCAAGAGGGGGGGCCTTAATTTTAGGTTTCTTGACATTTTTCCATATGAAAAATTCCATCATTTGCATTAGTCACACACACGAACTTCTACCTACTGATATTTGTCTGAGTTACAGTAATATACAGAAAAGTATTTTTAGTAACATTAATTTAACAATCGTGATTAATCGTGATTAATAAGGATCACGATTGACCTCAATTAATCATGATTAGTCCACAGGTACACTGTGATTAATTAGATTTAAAATGTTGACAGCCCTTGTTAAAACCCAAGATAAGGACAGCACTACAGAGCAAGAGTGCAGAAGGGGCAATGGGGCGGGCAATTACAAATGGAAGGTACAAGGGGGAGAGGGCTGAAGAGACAACATCAACACTGGGGGAGACTGGATGCTGGTTACTCCCACACTGTGTTCTTCAACATTAATTTAAGGTCCAGACTTGGACCTTCGGCATAAACAGGGGCAGAGGCTATGGCTCAGGGCCCTAGAGCTGGACACTCTGGGTAGAAATTAGGACCAGTGCTACACGGTGTGCCAGGACCTGCTGATCTGGGTGAGGTGAGTCAGAACCTGTTAACATGACTGGTGTCCCCAGCCTGACACGGAGGCTTGTCGGACATGCACATGTGCACATAAATGTTACACAAGTATGCTGTGCCTCTCATCGTCCCTCCCTCTGCCCTCCCAATCCTGCCAGCGCTCCCTTTCCTCCCATCCAGATAAAATCCTTTCGGACACAAATTTCAATTATTCACCTCATCCAAATAATGCCATGTGACAAGAATTATCCCTACTGTAATAATCCACTTAACTTAGAAAATGCAGCTCATCAAAAAGAGAAAGGAGAAAAGGGGCTAGAAGTGAGTGCGACACTGGCTTCACATGCGTGGGGAGGGTGGACTTGTCAGAATCTGAAGTCTCATAACAAGAATATTTTCCTTTTTTGAGAAGGCACTCTGGCGTACAGTGGGATGATGAAATTGAAGTAAATTGAAAGAAAGCCTGGGAGAATGCTCCAACAATCAATAACCCCAGGATTAAATTAGCCTTGGCATGAAGGGATGATGGGGGAGGATGAAGAGTGAATGGTGGTGAATGACATTGAGACATGTAGGCAGAACAATACAACACACGGCTTTAACCTGGAAGCCATGTCCACACAAGGACAGTGAGAGTACTCGTCATCTCCCGCTGAACAAACACACACTTTTCATGGCAAAATATATTGTCATCACTTTTTCACACCTTTATATAATTGAACACGTGACTTTGGAGAAAGATTAAATAAATCTACACAATCAAAACTTTTTGCCTCAATGCATGATAATTTTGGTATTTTAGAAAATCTCCAAAATTTTACATTTTTACAGGCATTTACAACTACTGTTTGTAGAAATTATTTACTGAATGAATTACCCTTTCATATTTTTCTACAAAATACAGAATATAAATTAGAAACTCATAAAAATGTGTAGGTAAAAACATGTAAAAATAAAAAATATATTTTTTAGGTGTAGTACTCTATTTGAATTGACTTGTACATCATATATTATTCCTTTTTATATTTTCATGAAATAAACCTATTTATGTGTGTATAATCGTAGTACTTATAATCAACAGCGTTTTCTCACCAGTGCTTCTCTGACGGGAGCGGCCCCGGTGACTCCAGGTAGAACGCCAGACTGAGAAAAGTACATAGAACACTTGTGTTAGTATGCCATCTACTGGACAATACAAGCAATCACAGCAGTTTATGAAAAACCGATGCAAAGAGATTCACGGTATAAAAAAAAGAGTTGCATTATAATACGTTGAAAGAACAGTAAAAGGACTATGGGCACACAAATAAACACAATGCAACAAAAATGTGTACAAAAGACAGACAAGCTCACGTTTGGTGACAAAATTGCATTAGTACCATATACACAGTTAAAGTGAGAAAATTGAAAACAGTAAAAAACAGAACAGGCAGAATGAGACAATTTTCAAGTGTGAGGTCATTCAAAGAAATTTCAATTGCACATTCAACATGTTTATGGAAAACAATTGTTTTTAGAGACAATAGTAATCACACATTTCAAGAGTTAAACACAAAAAAAATTATTAGTCAACAACATCAGTTAATAGTGTGTCACTGTCCAAAGCTTCAAAATAGAAACTTAAAAAATATATATTTGAATTTGTTCACACAAACCACAAATAACAGTTCAAATTACACAAAACACAGAAAACAACACAGAACAACCAAAGAAAGACTGTATTTTTAGATTTAAGACACAATATTAGTAACAGGTACTCCTAGAGCAAATAAAACCACATACCGCAGACACTTTTGGTTAGATGAAGGACTTACTGCATTTATTTGAACGTGTATTTCTTTGACATACGATATACTATACCAGGAAGAGTTGGACCTCATGTAAATGTCAATTCGAAAAATCATATATTTACTTGTTTCGTAACCATGGCGTGAATTTATTTAACAAGAATCCCGTGTTTACTCTGAACGTCTGAACTTTGCATATCTGTTGTACTCCATATGTGTTGTAAACGTATACGAAAACACGGCAGAAGCAGCAGCTGAACTAAAATGCATGCAAGTTTGAGCCGTGAATAGACAGACATTTGTTGACTTTATTGATGTGGTGTCTGTATTTAAAATCAATACGACACATGCTTGTCGGGCAAACAGTGACCTTTCCCCCTTTACAACATTATCTGTGCACATATGATCAGCTGACCGCTTTCATAAAGCACGTAAAGTCGTGGAAACATTTAAACAGATGTCATGTAAAGTATTAGCTCGACGGTTGATGTCGTTGACCTGTCAAAGCAAACATCTCATGTGAGAGTTAACTTCGAACACAGTAGCAGCTAAAATGCTAACTAGCAAGAGGCTAACTGCGGAACTATATAAGTTTCGAACTACAGTTATGACATCAGCGAAATGTGACATGTCAACCACGTTCCAAGCACTCACTGATTAGTATATTACCCGGTTAACTGTAATTTTAGAGTAGAATCCAACCTGTTTTGGTGGATCTGGTTGCTCGGTGGATGCCATCTTTCAATCCTTCGTGGGTTCGACAGGAGCTCATCTATGCTCGATTGCTTTTCCTGTGAGGATCTAGCTACTTATATTTATTTTTATCGTGATTGTAACGCGTCAGCATTTGACGCTGTGAGTAAAAGTAAACAAATGTACTGTTAGCTTAAGGAGTAACTGAACATCCTTTCAAATTATCTAATATACCAGAAATAGCAGTACTAAATGACAGAGAAAGCTCGTTTTTAGAACTTTGTCATTGTAACACGGGCACAACGAAATTGAGGGTGCTTCCACAAAGCTACTATGCACCACAACAGGAGAAATAATATTAATATATACAACAATATATACAGAAAAACAACCTCGTAATGTAAACTGTAAAACACTGTAAAAAGATACCGGGAGGTAGTGCAAGTATACCACTTACATTTACATTATAAATATAGAAGAAGAACAGAAGAACTACAGATTTTGAATTTTAAAAATTGTGTACTTTTGCAAAAGAACATTTAAATAAAACAATCATAGCCATCACATTTTTATTTAAAATCTCGCGGACCCGCAGGCGGTGCATGCTTGGCCAAGAACGTAAGCGAAAGTTGCGATGAGATATCATTTTACCACTAGAGGTCGCTATATCCTAAATAACTGTTAAATATAATAAAACTACTTATCCCAGAAGCCTTAGCGCTACTGTGGCGGTTCCGTGTTGTTCGAACCCAGCCAGGAACAACTGTCAGAATTTCCTATGCTTCTTCCACGTCCATCGTAGCAATGACAGATAGACGACCGTGCAGGGTTTGCAATTTCTCCCGTCAAAAATCTTACGGGCTGGTTGTTCCCTCTCTGGATGAGCTGAAAGTGAAAGGTGAGTTAGCGTGTCCTCAGGAGAGTGGGTATATAGCTATATGCAGCTGAATAAGCTTGGGTGAGCTGGTCTAGCTATCTTATAACTAAACCCTCCGGAAACACTGGAAACATTTACAGTCTTATGATGACGGTATTTCGCAAACGTGTATAATATATGTGTGTGTGTGTTTCGTTGTTGTTTTAACTTGGGTTACCAAGTTGGAAGTTTAACAAACTGTCCTGGTAGTCATCTTGCGTAGACCTGTCCATTTGTTTCCAGTACTTGGCAGTGATCCTATTATAGCAGCATTAGAAGAGTTATGAAAAATGTATTAACGTTTATTACAAACGCAGTCTCTTCCTGTGCTTTATTGGCATCGGTTTAGATGATTAATGATCCATCCTGAGCCCGAGGAATGATCACCATTGGTATTTAGCTGAAGATGTGAATCTGAGGAAATAGAGAACGTGGATCGTGTCCAAACATGCAGGGGATACAGAGAGTGAGGCTCAGAGGAGAGCTGTCTCGTGTCCTCCTTATTCCGAGAATGCGAGTCAGCAGCAGGCGTTTCCCGGATCGTTTCAGTCTTTTCTGTGCAAAAGGCTTTTGTCTTTTATATAATAGACCTTTAGCGGTCTACAAACACAAGTGTTAGTCTACTGTGTTACTGTGACTACTAAGTCAAATGTTGCATGCGAGCTTGGATAGTGAAGCAGTGAGTCAAAGCTGGTCAAAATGGCAGTAAATTACAGTTTTACGTAAACTATGGGTCACCATATCCAAAAAACCCTTTTTTTAATTTAGTGGCACAGCACCAGTCAGCTGACAGAAGCTATCGAAGCATCCAAACTAGTGGTTAACCAAAAGTAAACATTGTGTCTGCTCCTACTGTAACACCAAGGTTAACCAAACGTTGTTACCTTAATTACCATTGATGAATGGGTTAACTGTGCAACTTGGCTAAAAAGATCGTAGTGACCAAGTTACAAATCAATTGATACTAAAAAGAGCAAAATATAGAGGAGTTTTACTAATGGATGTCAACTTTCAACTGATATTTTGCTTTTCAATCAATTGTTGTATATCATATTCGTTGCTAATTGCAAAAAAAATTACATTGATGTATGATAAACTTCTGTTGTATTGATGTAAAAGTGAAAATAAAAAATATGATAGACATTGATTTTGAATTGTCGAAGCTTTGCAGGTAAAATTAATTACGTTTTTTGTTTTTTTTTTCTTTGTTTTACAGGGTGTGAGTTCCTTGGATTCAGCCCCAGTGAACAGGTCACAATAGTCCTGGAGGATGATGGGACAATAGTAGAGGACCAGTCCTACTTTTTGTGTTTACCTCCAAACACAAAGTTCATGCTTTTGCATGAAAAAGACACATGGTCTCCAGTTCGAAGAAGTAAGCAGTTACCTTCCAGTCGATAATATCACTAATCATCCCTCACTACCCCACTCGTGTTTTACTACCACTACTTATCTTTCTTTGTAGTGGACGGTGGAACAGCCTGGATGGCCAGGGAGTCAGTGATTCTGGAGGATGACACTGTGGATGCTGCTGATGCTGGTGAGACCTGGTTGGACTTAGCACAACAGCTGAAACAGGACCTGGCCAGCATCATCCTCATGTCTGAGGCCAACCTGCAGGTGCCAACAATTGTTTTAATATCACACAGTATCTGCTGCCATGTTTTTCTCAGTTTGCAGCAGTGTGAATCATAGGGGAGAGGTATTATTACTTTTTATATCGATGTGACTTCTGTGAACCAAAAATACCCCACCTAAAGAAAACATTATTTTTATTTTTATTCTAGACCTTGGTTGATGCTCCATGCTGTGAGCTAGCCACAACCCTGGGCTTTCAGCAGAAGAAAGCCGAGACCCTACAGAAGACACTACAGAGGGTGTTGGACCGAAAAGAGGAGGAGCGGCAGTCGAGGGAGTTACTCCATCTCTATCTGAAAGCTGTGGAGAAAGAGACCAGGCAGGAAGGACAGAGGCTTCCCAGTGTTGGAGGTACAAGGGTATCTGCTTCTTCAGAACTTTTAAATGTTTTCCAAATAATCTAGAACAGGGGTCTGTCACTTAAATGAGCTGGGGAATAATCGTGCCTCTGTTCGACTTTCAAAAAAAAATTAAGTAGTTTTTGTTTTATTGTATAAATAATGGATAATAAAATAAAACTATCAGGTACAATTATTTTTCTTTGTAATTATTTACTGACCAAAAAAGCATTGTAATAAACCAAAAAGAAAAAAAAAAAAATTTACCTAATGTCAATAATAAGCTGTTTGTGGGCCAGAAGTTGCCCCCGGGCCTTGAGTTAGTGACCCCTGATCAAGAACATTTTCCTTCTCTATATAGTGTTGTACTACCTTTTTCACGTGGTGTGATATCCTACTATTTTATCAAACAAATCAAAAATCTAATAATGGCACATTCAATTTTCATCACCGATCTCACTTATGCTGTACACTGTCAGGTATTTAACTTTAACTTTTTTAACTTAACTTTTACATCCTTACTTAAACAAGGAATCCCTCATAAAATATTTTCACACATTTCGATGACATCGTCTAGTAGAGGGAAATCTTTCCTGCTGTCAACAAGAACGTGTCCTTTCGCTTTTTAATCAGTAGATGGAGCTGTTGTCATTGCCAAATAATCAACCTGTGATTGTTTATACGTACGACAAATAACCTGTGAGAAAATCTTCTGCAGCCGGAGAAAACGTGGACACACCAGATGGCATGGAAGTGGACTCGGCATCAGGATTCATCTCCAGGACTCTGATGGTGCTGAAGGGCAAAACAAGTCCAGAGACCAGGCTCTCCACGGAAGACCTACAGGTAGTCCACTCGTACAGTTGGACTTTTTGTAAAAAACTTCTGCAAAACAAACATGTATTAATTTAGTATTATAGTATATTTCATAAACATGATGAATTTGTAAATCTGTTTCTGTTCTCACAACACAAGGAATAAATTAACGGTGCCTGGTGACAACAACAAACACATTTTTTCAGTACTAGTTCTTACAGATGCAATGTTAAATTTTGTTGTGTGTTGTTCAGTCTCATGGTCTTACTCCGACTGTAGTCGGGTCTGTTTCAACAAATCACATTTTAGAAAAGAACCCAAAACACTGAGATTTTTTTTTCATTCATATGTGTTAACTTCACTTCTAATGCAGTTTGTGTTGTAACATGTCTCAGCACATCTGGGATCAGCAGTTAATTGCAATGCACTTTCATAAAACTGCATGAAACTGTATCAGATACAGGATTAATAAAACAAGGAGTGTTTCTTCTTATCTCAACTACGAGTGTTGAGACTAGACGTTTTGCTATTATATATTACATTTTTGGAAATTGAAATTGAAAGATACTACTGACACACTGTCAATGGAAGCGTTCTGATTCATTTTAGTTTGTACTTGTGTAACAGTTTTAACAGTAGGAGGTCTCCTACATGTGTCATCAGATGGTGGTGACCAAAGGGGTAGAAGCCATGCAGCAGGTCCTCGGCTGGAACAAGACGAGGACGTCTGATCTGCTGAAGGCCTGTGAAACAGAGCTGAACAAACGTCTCCAGCAGGTTCAACTCGTGCAGTCCATCAGAAACAGCACACAGCAGGACAGCAGTCATCAGACCGGGAAGAAGAGTGTGGAGGGGGGCGATGGAACTCCAGCCCAGGGCAGCGACTAGGCTGAGGCATCACCTGAGCAGAGACTGATAAGAGTTCACTCTCACTGCCTCGGGGTCAGTGGAATGAGTTTTACTTGCAGTATATGTTTCTGATAATACTAATACTGGAATCTATGAATGCCAATGATGTTGATGTTGGTTCCAATTTGGGGGAAAGAAATTCAGATTTTGTCACATTCATCAAATATGTAACAGTATTCTTCAGTGGCCCCAACGGCCCCTTGGGTTAATAATAAATGTAGGTCACAATTTAGCATATGGCAGAAGTGATATTAAGTATAAAACTCAACAACACCAATGCCTCTCTCAGACTGAACCTTGTAAACAACTCTATCTGTTTTAGTTTGTTTAGGAATTCTCTCTAAAACATTGGTGCAAATCTGTTACTGTCAAAACTGAATTTCTTCATTTTGTTGATCATCATGTTTACAACCAATTATCAAGTACACTCCCAGGAATTGTAGGGAGACAAAAAATTTACTATTTGGTGTGTGTCGGAAATATTTAATCTGTTCTGTTATAGAACTCAATGTTTCTCACTCCGTAGAGGAGAAACAACGAGGTGTTCAGAACAGTTGGTCAACTGTCTTTGATATTGTTCTTGGTAGTTTGCACCAGTACGTTTTTTATAGGGAAAAAAACACTAATATGTGCGAAACATATCGATAAATGAGCCATAACCACTATCACATTCAACGTATGAGGACGACAATGTAAAAACAATATAAATAAAATAGCCAACCATTATTCTCTACTGTGCAAAAGTTTAGGCAGGTGTATCCTGTATGTATTTATGAGAACCTCACAGGGGTATGGGTACCAAAGGCTGTACCTCACACCACCTGCTGGGCTGTTAAAAGTCACACACATATACAGTACATTTATTGCATTTAAATATCTGCCCCTTAATTTATTAATGAAATACTCTAAAACAGCTGCAAACACGTGGTATACAGTAGATGTTTATGCTTCCCTATCCTTTTGCACAGTACTACATGTATAAGTTATAGTATAATATTGTCATTAAATGCATGTGTTTGATCTCTCCAGTTTTAGACAGACTCTAAATGACTGTCATTATGGACGACAATGACAATCCTTTGCATTTCAGAGGATCAGTGTTTCTGGCTGAGAGCTCTTCATGACAATCACTCACAGGCTCGCAGGGAACTTATACATCAGTCCAGTCGCTCTCCAGTCCAACCTTAGGTGCAGGTCTGTGTGACTCATAGGTCAGAAATGATAGCCTGCACCGTCTCATCATCTTGTCTGCTGAACAATGAACACAGTGATGATGCATTTAAATTTGTCCAAAGATTGTCTCTTTTGTGTTGCGGTTAGGTTTCTATAATAGTTATCCCTACATTCATTTTACAGTTATTCATCATCATGTTCTTTTTCATTGGAAACACATAGGAACTGTTTTCGTTTAGTGTTACAAATTAATCAAAAGGTACATTTTCTTTTTCAGAACGAAGCTAAATAAAAAAGGTACATTGTTTATACATACAGTATGATGAACAGTTTGGAATAAATAAAACCTAAAAAACCTCTTACGTTCTGTTGTCCCATATTTCTGTCGCCACAACATATATATATATACATATATATATATATTTACTTTAAAGAAAAACACAAGTTGGCTCAAATGAGAAGTTTCCTCATGTGACTGACAGCTGAACGATCCAATAAGAGTACAATGCTGTTGATGATGATAATGATGGCCTCACTATTGCAGTGATTCAAACTCCCTGTGCCATGAGAGGTCGTCAGGTGTGCTGGGGAAATGATCTAAACAGATAGGATCGATTTTAAATGTAAAATAATCCCTCATTATGGCAGAAGATATTAAAGATAATGTTTGGTCAGGCTTCACAATTTGCTCTACTGTCAATAATGTAACAACTTATGCCACACGATTTCAAATGTGTGCTTAGCTCCACCCACAGGCCATGGAAAGGACATACAAGCGTAATGTTTTTGTAAAACAGCAAGAATAAATCACAAAATACTAAATACTGAGCCAGTATTTAGTATTTGAAAGTAAAATGAACGTTGTGCTGTTGTTGTAATCACTCTCAGGACAGACATGCTCCTTTGCCCTCCGTGTGTGACACAAACGGGGCTAATGCTAACCAGTCAATGCTGAAGTCTCTAACAAGAGCTAATATAATAGGCCTGAAGAGGCCTGTAATGACTAGTTTGATGAAAGAGCCAAGCTGTTATTGCTGGGAGCCTGCATAATGTATGAAGGTTAAATAACTAGTGTTCGCTGCCTCTCAGGCAAGGCTGACACATTGTGGAATTTTTTAAACAGAAATAATTAACCATTTTTTGCCATGGGATTAAAAATGGCTGTCTGAAACATGTCGTCTATGGATTATTGTAAAAGTGTCTTAGTCTGTGAATAAACAATTATGTTTTAGTAGTAGTTACAAATGAACCCTACTGGTGGAAGAGGGTGAGAAACAAGGCATAACAACAGGAACTATTTTGTTGGAAACAAAAGTTGGATGCAGCCCATTCAGCTTTTTAAATCCGTCCCACCAAAGTTTTCCAAATATAATGTATTTATATTATCATTATACTCCTGCCTTTTCACTGCAACACCCACATTTCCCCCATAGATGGCGTATAAAATGATAAAAGTATTTTAGCATTGTATCCTTAATGCATGACTTAGTTCACATGAACATCTATCTGCTCCTGACCCGGCCCCCCTGTCAAATTTTAGGACAATTGCGGTCCACGAGTCAAAAAGTTTGCCCACACCTGTTCTAGGTGCTATTTTAATTTAATTTGTCAATAAACCCGTGGGCCAGATACGGACTGCCAAACTGACTGATGTCAGTCCTTATCTTTCATGCATTACAATGAATCAACCGTAATTTCTGTTGATGCTACTAAATGGCGGAGACATCAAAAGTGCCAAAGTTTAGGTTTATTCTTGTACATTTTATTTAAATAATTTCACCCATTATTCTACATCCAACCAATACTAAACCGGAACGCCAGTCAAATGTTAAACCATGAACCACCTCTGATCTAGTCTGTACTGAAGGAACAGTTTATTATGGTTGTTTATGAAATAGAGTTTAAGTTCATCAATAAAAAGAAAATTCTTTTCATTTTTAAGGTTTAAAGACTAGATTATACATATTCTATTATATTTTAAGGTGGTACGACAGCACATACAGAACAGTGTTCATGTAAAGAGAGTGAGGGACTCAGCTTTAGCACTGGTGTAATTCATCTTCCAGCCTCTGTTTTTCCCACTTGTGTCAGACCTGAACTGAATGTGAACTTGGTAGCTCCCGGTGTCAATGCGGGCTGGGGGGGTCGATCCACAGAAAGGTCCATACTCCTGTCCCACTGTTGAAATCTTAGAAGAAAGAAAGAAAAGGACGGTAGGAAAGGACTGGTGTTGTCTCATGTCAAACTGAGTGATGTCAAGACCTAAAGTGAGACACGCTGGAAAAGACATTGACCACACAGTATATCAGGTCAGGACGACAAGTCAGTGACAGACTGCCTCCATGAGCATGAGCAGGAATACATTGCTTTTTCATTATCTCCTTGTGTTTGCCTGAACATGTGTGTGTACTGTGTACATGACTAACCTTCAACATGTCATAGGGACAGGGGACATTTGGGTGTCCCTCTATGTCAAAGGGTGACAGGAAGTCCAGGAATATTCTGTGGCCCTCTGGTAAACGGATGGTGTGGTCACACTGACTCATGGGTGGATAAGGGTTAGGGTAGCCGGGGCTGGTCAGGACCCCTGATGGTGAGGTCAACACCTGATTGTGGCAGGGACCTATATGAAGGACAAACACTGTAATCACACTGCTGTGTCTGAATTGTTACAACGCAAACTGATTTTTTTTTTTGTGTGTGAAAAGTTTGTAGCGGTGACTGCTTCATAAATTCTGGCAATTTGTAAAAAGTTGGAGTTAAATCCTGTCTACGTTAATGATGGGATTCATTTAGGTTTGGATTAGCGCCCTGCTAAATGTGCAGATGTTATTACAGACAAAAACAAACGAGTACTGCAGAGAGGCCGAGTCGCAGTAATTCATATAATTAGCACAATCTGAGGCAGACAATCATTTTTATTTTTTTTTTTGCCTATTCACGGGATGATTTGTTTTGTCAGCCTTTTCTTTTGGCACAGGATAATAATCTAAGGCACATCAAGTGGTAATTGTGATGAATTACCTGGTGTCACTTCACTATTAGCGCTGCACACAGGTATCAATTTTTAACACTATGGTGAAGCTGCTTTTCCCTCAGGAATCCACAGTAATTAACCCTGCATCGCAGCAGCTGGCAGAGATCAAGGGCTCTGTGCAACAGAATGCCTTTTCAGTTTTTAGGCAAAGGCAAAAAGTTCCAAAAACAACAAATATGCAGAAGGTGAATATAGTAAAACCCAATATATGGCATATAAAACTGTCTGTGTATAGTGTCACATAATGATGCTGTACAAACTAGTGGGTGAGTTTTAAGGTCAAACGTCATAATAATAGAACAAGACATTCTTAAAGATTTACAGATAGGGGGCGTAACCACAGAATGCCGTAGATCGAGGACGTCGTGAACCAAGGATCCCCTGCATTACGTTTGTGTTTGAAACTCTTACCTGTACATGACCTGTTGTTGGCATGAAGATGGAATCCCTGCCTACAGCTGCAGTAGTACCCACCAATGAAATTGTGGCAAAAGTGATCACACACTTTCTCTCCATCCACCTTAGAGAGACACTCATCAATGTCTGTGACATGGAGAAAGACAAAGACTGAGCAGAGTGTTACAGTGGTGAACATACTGTCTTCAGCCTGTTAAACACAGAGAGCATGGCCACTGAAGAACTCCAGGCTGAAATCCATAGACATTGTCAAAGGAAATGGTCATAAAAATTGTCTGACACAACTATGTTATTAATTACCTAAAATGTCCATAATAGGTTCTTCTCAGTTGACAAGCATAAAATAAGTGTTTCAGGCCGACAACATTTTTTTTTTCAATTTTCCAGTGCACTTTTAGCAAAGAACTTTCTGTTTTTGTGTGAAATAATGAATTTAAACAGACTTTAAAAGTTCTTCCTCAATGAAAAAAAAATTGCAGTGCTCATATTGTACACATGTAGAACTTGATCACTGCATTTAACCCAATCCAGTAGTAGTGACATGAGCATGGATTCTGTACAATAGAATATTTCCTTGCATGTTAAGCTCTCGTGGGCCACATAAAATAACCTTTTTTGTTTGACACATGTGCCATAGTTTTAAAAGGTAAAGAGAACACTCGGAGAGCAGGGTTCTCTCAGCTGCGTCACAACGTGACTGTGCAGTCTCTCTGTTGTGGAGTTCTTCTGGTTTGTTTTCCCTAATATAACGGCGGAGGACAACATTCTCTGCCCTCTGGTAACAGATCACATGCACATGCATCACCTTCTGAGGTGTAAAATGCTCGGAAGCCTGTAAATCGCCCCTCGTTAGAGTAGTCGCTTCTAAAGACCACTGACATCAGGTTCCCGGCTGACAGGATGATAGTGTTCCCCGGAGTGCTTTCATGGTTCTTGTTCTCCTCACCACAGAAGCGCAAAGTTTCATTTCCCTCTGCCAAAACCTGCCACAAGCCACAAGTTGTTTTTTTTCCAAATGTTTTACAGTGGAAAAAAAATCCCCTGTTTCCCCTGCACCAACCTGAATGTAGTCGTATTCACACTGGTCCGAGGGTTCCACACTGAAATGTGTGAAGTAGAGTTTGACCCTGTGTCCGTCTGGAACGATGATGTTCCACTGCATGTGCTGGTGGTCAGGGTACGGCTGGGGGAAGTCGGGTGAGGTGAAGCTGCCGTATAACGCCCTGAGTTCCACACACACAGAGCCGCGCAGGAGGAGAAAGTACAGGACAAGTACGCAGCACCTGAAGGCCACAGCAAAGAATGTTGGAAATAAAGTGTGTATATTTTAGCTGTTAAAGCTAACACACACTCACCTGGTCATGTCGCCTTCACAGTCGCCTGATATTTCTGGAAGAGTGAGTTTACTCGTAGCTCAGAGGGTGAGTGACCCTGGCTGCAGGTAAACAAAGTTAGAGAGTCACATGACCTGTTTGTTATCGATCCCTAACTCCCGAAGGCTGAATGTTAAAGTAATGAAACCTCTTCCTCATTTATTTTAGATTTATTTTAAGATAATAAATATTGCGTTTAATTTAATAAAAATACACAATAGAGAGAATAAAAAAATTGAAAGAAAAAATATTTTTAAAACCGCGGTGACCTGCACCGCACGTCACTGTTCAACAAAACTTGGAGACAGTGATGTTAATCAGACCAGACGCCAATTATTCCAGGGTCTGCTCTCGTCAGTGCTGCAGCGGGCTTGTTAAATTGAGCCCTTACCAAAATACACAATGCACAAATACAAATACACTTCACCCTTTTACCAGCAGAGCCCCTTTTGTGTGAACCTAATTTCTACACCGGGGTAAAAGCAGTCAACATTCCCCCTGTTTCCCAAAATGTTTTTCTACTGAATTTAACTACAAATTTTGATTTTTACCATCCATTCATTCCATGGTTTTCCATTGTTGTCAGGCCAGACCTCATTCTGAATGCTTTTATCGTGGGCGTATTGACAATTTATGTCGTCAGTCCTGATGGAACATGTTTATTGCTGTCATTCACAAATGATGGGGCTTTCAGTCAGCTACTACCGTACAATAATTAAGAATATAATAACCAGCCTCTCTTTTGCTAATGACAAAGCACTAATGGCTGGGACTGAATTAAATTATAATAATTATTCACATAAACATTCATGTGAATTTGCCTTCTGCAAATGACCTCTCTGCTGCTGCTCTTTCTAAACGGTGCCACAACCTTTTCTTTCGCACCTGTGAGTGGGTATAAGTCTGATTCGCACATATTCTCCTCCCAGATTTATGTTCCAGTTTAATGCACCAGCAGCAATAAGCAATTGCTCCTTCTCACATCTCAAACCACAATTCTCCAAACCTGATAACTTTGTCTTTATGAAAGATTTTTTCATTAAAACCAGCACAGCAGTTCAAGGTTTTGAAATTGTGAAAACATGGTTAAAAATTGCTTTTGTTCACAAGGCAAAATGAGAGTGAAAAGGCTTTTTACAGCATGTCTTTGTTAGACTTCATTTAATTTGAACCTGCAACATTTGTTGCAGAACAGGGTTCCGTGTTGAAGTCTTCTAGTTGAATAGATCTTTTATTTACAGTATGTTCCTGAAGATTTGAACGGACTGGACTGCAGGCCGGCCAGTCAGGCCAGGTTAGCCTATTACAGTTGCTGCTGAAAACAGGGCATGGAGCTATTGCATGTTTTCACATCAATGTAAATATATTTTTAAATGCATTATGGTGAGGAAACTAAACTAAATTTTAATTTTATTTCTTTTGCTCAATGGGAATGGCTGCTTTTGTCAGTGTTTTGTCAACAGTTGTGATGTAGTTAGAGTACAGTATTTGTACATGTTGTAATGTATAATACTGTATATTTGTAGTTCTATAATGTAGTGGTTATCGCATCTGCCTTACACACAGAAGGTCCTGGGTTTGAGCTCCAGAGGAACTACAAAATGAGTGGCGCCACCTGTGTGGCAGACCTTATCAACTTGAACATCATCAAACCGTCGATGTTCACATGAACATTGTTTCTCATGTCTGCTGTAATGAAGAGCTTCCTGAACAAAGAACAAAATAAAGAACACACTGATGAGACATGAGCGTGGTGAACAGTAAGAACACACTGAGATTTCTCCCCGGTCTGGAGAAGCAGAGCCACAAACCCAACATTCCCCCTAATCGCTGTGAACACCCTGTGCTGTAAACAGACGCGGTGCTGCTGCTGGTGTATCTGTAGATGGAGCCTCACTATGACAACCTCCTCCATTCTCACAAAGCTGCTATTTTTCCTCCGTACTGGCTGTGCAATCACAGCAGTCTCAACCACCCACGTGCAGTAAACTGTAATTAAGGACTTGGGTAAGTTCGCCTGTGTCACTTGAGCTGAACACAGAGAAACAATGCAGAGTTAATCCACTGGAATTTGCTCATCCACTGTACTTCAACAGCTCACTACCTGCAGCCAATACCAGGTTAAGAAAAGCCCATGTTTCCTGACTTTGATTGCGTATAGCTGATCTGTGAACAATAAATACGACAACTTTCAGAGTTGAAATGTAAAGTCCCGACACCTGCAAACCACAGAAAACACCTTGGTCTGCACCTGAAGTGAAGGAACAGGATTTAATCCCAATATTAAGACAACCACAGATGTAAATTCATTTCCAGTTCCCGTTGTGCTTCTAAGAATTGTTACTACACAGACTCAATAGTTCAGTCATTTAAAATAGATTGGAATTTCAAATTCAGATTTTTACAAATTTATGAAACCACTTAATTTTAATGAATACAATAGAGAAACAACATTTGAGTTCTGTTGCTTGTCTTTTTTAATTTTTTTAAAAATCACGTAAATCACGTTAATGATTTGTAAAGGTCAATCTGATTTAAATAATGTTAACACAATTTAGCGCATATATATATATATATATACATATATATATATATATGTCTATATATATATATATATATATATATATTCCACCAAGATTAATTACTTAAGACAGTAATGACTTAAATCCACCAACATTTTGAGTTATACTTTTATATATTTTTTTCGTAACATTTTCTATATTAGTAATTCCATCATTTGGATTAGACATGAATAACAACTGCTCGCTGTTATCTGTCTTTCCGTTCTGGAAATATCCTATAATCATATTCAAAAATGTTTTATTATCTAGATTAATCACAACAGATAATTCATCTACAGCTATACAAATTTGAATTGTTTGACAGCCTTACTTTTTCTAAACAGTACATGTTCAGACCCATTTGTGGAACAATGGAAAAGCTGCACAATTGTACCAGAGCTTTGGCACCCTCACACGAAGTGTTTCAAACTCGAACATCCCAGGTGCTCGGTGCAAAAGTCATTATTAACCCTGGCTCTGAACGTTCTCTGAAGCTAATGATCAGAAATGGCTGCTGATGAATCAATGTTGAACCTCTTTGTGCCGCATTTCAGCGCTGACGTCATGGCCATTACTTTTCCAATTTGCCTTGGCACGGCTCCTCTTTACACATAACAAAATCGGTCCTTTCCTTGGTAATTCAAACAGGCACCGGCTGCAGCAATTCACTTCCAGAGCAGTCAGTGACATCAGTGTGGGGGAGACAATGGTAAGAAATGTTACACAGATGCTGCTCTCAGCCCTGAATCTGCCCTTCACTATGATCCAGCTGCTCTGTAGCATTTCCTGACAGACATAAAGCAGCTGATTGGCTTCGCAATGATCAACAACTGTTGGAATTATTGCCTCAAAACCCTCTAAAACATTTCAGACTCAGGACTAATAAGATTGTACAAGTGCCAGGTAATATGCCAATTACACAAACGTATTTCTCCTATTCGCTAACGACAGACAAAAGCTCTACATTCACAGGCTGCTGTGTTCTTCTCTGGAGACGTGGGAGACCCCTGCAGGTGGCCGGTAGAATCCGGAATAGTCCTGGTAGTGGAGTCGATGTGTCATGCCATGACACATTGTCAATCCTTTACATCATGTGTATGAAAGCACCGGCCACCACTGACCAGCAGCGGCCCACTAGCCAACCCTGTCAGACGACATCCACTCATCACAGTCACGCTCATGTTGCTGTTATAAAATCATACACCCGTGGTGACGCGCCGTGACTCAATAACTGCAGTAATGACATTAATGAGGTAGTATTTCTGTGTAATCGATTACGCATTTGCCAGTCTCGTAGCTTTGAGAAAAATGGTGGTCAGTCTGAACAGTAAACATGGATTTCCAATATGAGTAATGGCTCAAGTCTGGTCGGCTGCAGCCAGGACTTCACTCACCATTAATACACAGAAACCGTTGCTGTCACCCGTAATGGTGCTGTGACATTTAGGATCTCAGTATCTAACACTGAGAAGTGTGTGTGTGTGTGTGTGTGTGTGTGTGTTTCTGCTGCAGCCAGCTCATTTGACACAAAGGGATTTTGTGTTGTTAGAGGAACTGCAATCAGGTGTATTGCTATCCCACAAGGGCCCAATTGGCCTGAAAATAGTCATAAGTAGCTCCATACACCCAGAGAAAATAACATTACTTCAGGTCCTCAGCTGATGCTGTGGCAACAGCTCTATTACAGGTGAAAGGCTAAGGCAAACAATGACAGTCCTGCTGTCTAATCACAGCAGCGTGTCCCTTGTGATTAGATACCTTTATATTGCCCCGTCCAGGCAGGACACAGTGGTGCTTAAACAAGGCGGTCAATATTATCTTACGGTACTTCTCTACCTCCCTGCGCTCCCCTACGTCTAATGACACCATCAACACGAGTGTCTCCCAGTGGTGAGTCTGACACATTCAGATGGATAATTATTGGAGTGCTGTGCCTTTTGAAAAGAAAAAAAAAATCACTGCTGGTTTTTACTGAGACAATCAAAATCTGTCTTAAAAATAAATGTTTTGCAGTTTCCCTACCGTCTGGATTCTATGGCTAGTGTGAGGGCAACTGACAACTGACGTTCCTGCTACGGCACGGTTTGAAGAGTTGGTCGAAGCACGGAACACCTGGTCCCACATGAACAGGATTGTGACTTCTGTGCGGAACAGAAAAACTGGAACTAGTGTGAGTGCACTGTCAGTTACTGATGCTAAGGTAACCCTGCAGGCGTGGACTGTGACTGCTATCCCCATGCTGATGCTAACAGATCCCACTAAGGCAGACAAAACAGAGGACGTGATGAGATTACTTGTCATCGCGGGGAGTTTTTCATCTGGTCAACGGTGCAAGAAGACAATTAATCTTTACATCCTTTTCAGGGAAGTACAACGACGTGCAGCACAGACGCTGCATCTCAGGTCTGTAGCTTCATTTCACTCAAAGTGTCTCTCTGCAGAAATACAGCTTTAGTGAGTCGACCTGGACAAGGATACACGGCGATCCCAACGTTTTGATCAGCGAGCATTGATAAGAATATAGCCAGCTGATCCCTGTTAGACTGATTTACTACGATGAAGGTT